CACTTGTACATACACATTCATTTTCTGCCCTGTGGGCTTACTTAACATTTACCAAGAGACTCCTCCCAATTAAAAAAAGAAAGAAATACATTCTTGCTTGTAATAATCTATGTTGAGAGATTAAAGAAAACAGGCTAAACAGAAATAATTGATCTTCTGATACCAAATCTTGTGGGAAATTCCATGAATAGTGGCCAAATTCTGCTGACCTTGGTTCTGTGGAATAGTACCCTGGTAAGTAATTATGGTAAAGTCAACCCTGTTGGAAAAAAACAGTCCAGTAAAGTCAGTAAGACTGAGGGATAACATATTTTTTTTGCAAATCCATGCAGGTGTACATTTCTCCAGTTATGACAAGTGTGTATGAGCAATAGTAGAAATAATCAGCAGCAGTGGGATTATGATTAGGAATAAACAAAGGCTTAACAGCACCACAGTTTTAGTAAACACACAGTCTAATTTAGATATTTTTAAAGCCTTTGCTTCCCAGATGAGTATTCATTATTCTTAGGCACTTCCTAGGCTCAAATGTGCATGTTCAAGTACAGGTTTGTGCATGTGGCTTTAGTCCTTGCCATCACTAATAATGTAAAACACTGTAGAACAGCAGAATTGCACACAGAAGTTTGGTATTTAGCCAACATGGAGAGAATGCTGGATGGCTCCTGCAAGATCAGAGAAATTCTGTGCTTAGATATTGCCTGTTTTATTTTGTAGACAGGTAGTACCAATTCTGATTCTTTGTCTACAATTTCTAATTCATCCAACTTCAGAATTGGATTCAAATAAACTTCAAAGGTTTATTTCAAAACTTTCAAGACGATCACCTTTCTACACTGCTACTTTTGAGGGAATTTCCTGGTCCAGACATTAGAGAGAAAGAAGACAGGAAAAAAATCTGTTTCCATTCAGTCAAGCTGTAACTGAAAACCTGCTGCTTACATGTACTCAGAAGTGAATACTTTGAATTTAACAGATGATGTCTCTTTACACTTTATCCATCAGATCTGAGCAGGACTTTTCCACCACTTTCAGCTCTTTATTATGGTCAGCTGTTCCAGGAATAAAAATTTAAACTTGAGGGAGGTGAGTTGAGAACTGAATGGGGAACAAAAGGCATGACTGAGATCAGAGAGAGAAAAGAGGGGGATTAACTTGGTGGCTGGCAAATTAAAGGGGAGCCTAAGAAGTGATAAGGAAGCAGAATGGAGACAGAAAACTAGTGGGAATGGCTGAAAAAAAGGTGGTGAGGGATGGGAAGAGTCATCACATTGCAAAAAAAGATGTGAGAGGGATCCAGGGGACTGGAGAAGATGGTGTTAGAGGGGGAAAAAACAACCAGATGGTTAAAGCCACCCAAAGCTATCACTGCACTGGTATCCAAGTAATTTTTAACATTATAATAACATGTAGTAGACCACAAATATGTTTGTATTCTATATTTGAGACGTTAACCTGTGCTACTGGAAACCCTAGTTCAAATTTTGTAGATTCAGAGCTCCAAAACAGGACACCTTACTCTGTTTTGAGCACTAATAGTACAAGGCTAAGTGTTTTCCAAACTCAGGTCCCAGGCATGTTGAAATGAGATTTTTTTCCTATCACTCACTTTTCTGGGACTGGTGTGACACTGCTGAAATGTCACTGAGTGGCAAAAGGAAAGAACATCTCCCACACTGGGCTGGTTTGCTGGGACAGCCACACAGAGCTGCCACTTCTGAGTGCCACAGATCACTGCTCCAGCACAGGGCCTGCCAGGGAAATCTGAACTGCTCCTTGGAGAACACAGACCAGACATTTCTACAGCATTTAACAGCTTTGAAAGCCAGAATGAGACATACAATTATCCTGCCTTCCTTTTCACTCAACCACTGCCACAGAGGGATCCCAAAGCTTGGGTAAAGTAGTACAAAAGACCTCAAGAGATAAAGACATTAGTTTCTATGGCTTAAAAAATACTTTATGGCTTGAAGGACAAATTTCATACAAACTTTCTAACATATTATACCTGTGAAATCCTAGAGATGGTGTCTGAGAGTTTTCACTACATTAAATGATGGCTGCCTTTTGAATGTTTGCAATTAATATAATTACAATAATTCAACAACTCAGAAATACAGGGAGAAATTTGGAGGAACTGCTTCTACAGAAGAATTAAACACTTCCTCTGTGAGGGTGACCATGCATTGGCACAGATTGCCCAGAGAGGTTGAGGAATCTCCATCCCTGGAAGGTATTAATCAGTAACCTGAGCACAGCCCCTCCTGTTTTTAGGTGACCCTGCTTGAGCAGGGAGGTTGGAATAAATGACCTCCAGTAGTTCCTTCTGCAATACCTGAGATTTAACCTTTCCCCACCTACTGTTGCAAGAACTGAGGTCAGCTGCAGTGCCTCCTCCTTTCACATCTCCAGACTGAAATACTTTCCTAAAAGGGAAGGGAGGAAGTGAAAAGTATTTGCTAATTTTATCACGTAATTATTTACATCTATGTTTGTCTAGATGTATCATATCACTGTAAGTAAATTAATATTTGCACAACCTTTTGAAGATATAAGGCATTTGTGTGTTTGCATATTCACACAGGTACTATTTTTCTTGGATGATAAAAACAATTCACTGCCCTTTTTAAGGTTAGTACTCAAAATCCAGCTCCCCTGTACTTTTTATTCATCTGCCTTGATTGTGCTTTAGCTTTTTTATGGACTCTTTAAAATACATACTAATAAAACCTTATTGGCTTTTTATTATCAACTGTCTCAACATACAGCAGCATTGCAGGCTGCAGGGATTTTCTGGTCACTGCGAGCATGACTCTAGATTAAGGAGCAATCAATGCATTTGTTATACTGTCCCTGGCAGTTGATGCTTCTGAAAAGCTAACACATTTTTAGTATCATTCAGGCAATTTTCAAATGTACTGCTGCCTTTAAGGGTGCTCTGTTTATTACAGTATAACACAGCAATGAAGTCAATCTGGGTAAGCTGCTATGATTTACTAACACCTTCCTTTAGCTGATGTTCCACAGCTGTTTGGGCAAAAACTCTGTGTCAGAAGCTCACTGGTACTTAGGACCTTAACTTGCTATAAATTCCTTGAAGTCAATAGGTAGGATTTAAAAATCAATGGAAGGATACGGCTCAAAAGTGCTTTTTTTTCAGAGCTATAATGGTACAAATATTATCACTGAGCACCCACTTATATGTAAGATCTGAACATTGAAATAAAAGCCTTCAAAAGATCTACAAATGTGAGATGACATTGAAATCAATGCATTTAAGTCCCTAAATAGCTCATCTGATTCATCTCACCAAGAACATCTGATTGTGTCTAGAATAGACAGACATTTACAATAGCAGTGCTTTTCTAGTGGAGTACTTTTAAGTCTGCTTAGACTGCTTAGTTTAGAAGTGGTTACAGAAGAACATTAGTGAGAAAACAAGATAAATATTTTATTTTGGAATTATAGGGTTGAGAAATCATCCATGAGAGATATTGCTTCCACCAGATTTCACTGATTTTGCTGAGTACACTTTGGTTGCATTAGAGGTGGGTTTGGTGGAACATTCTAAGGATGAGGAAGCAGTTATTAAATTCACCTGGCAGGGTTAACAAAGGTGTTAATCTCTCTTTTGGTGTCCTAGCAGCACCTGACCCTTTATCACTGAATACCATCAAAGGCTCCACAGTGAGGCAGCACTCTAAAGAAATTATGTCACTTAATGAGCTGTTAGAAGAGTGGTCCCTGTCACAAATACAATTAAACTGTAGCATGCATAGTACATCCCCAAGTCCCCAAAATAAACATACAATTCAAATGTGGATATTCCAACCACTTAAATCTTACAACAATAAAAACAACGCAGACAAGGGGTGAACCTACATCAAAAACAACATTACTCAGAAAGTCAAATTCTCTCTGCACTAAACAGAACTGGTGCCAGCATTAGCAAAAGAATCATCACCAATTTTGCAGATCAGATGCCAAGGAAAGCCAGGAGGTAATGATGTGAGAGTCCAGGCAGTCCCACCGACTGGTGCTGATCAAATTCCTACTGCAGAGGCTGCTGCACAACTGCACAGCTCTGCCTCTGCTCAATCATAACTTATGAAGAAATGTAGCAACAGCACAGCTGTGTGTACCCAGTCCTGGGCCATTGCTTGGAGAGACCCCTTTGTAAGGACTTTGGAAACAGAAACCCAGATTGGTAAACATTTCTTGCTATGTGAACTTTAAAAAGTTTTTCACCAAATTGTGCACTCAGAAATTTTCCTGAAGGCAATTTTTAGACATTAATACAGAGACATTTTCCATTTTTATTCCAATCTGAAATGTTCCTCTAATGTTTACATGGCAAACTGGATAACAATATATTTAACATTTCCATAAAATAAATTATATTTAAATTCTAAGTATCTATATAAAATTAATTATTTAAGCTCTAAACCTAGAATAATTTGAGACTGTAAAACCCAAATAGGGCTTAACAATTTCAACTGTTTATATTATTAAGACCTGCAGTTCTCAAATGGGTACAGCATCCCCTCAGAGGACACTGAACCTCTTGATCCTTTCCCACACAGGTTACTTTGGCCAACAGGCAATGGTGTGATTAGAGACTTCTACCAATGGAAAAGCAGATTTCCATTTTAGCTCTGCAATGTGCTTCACCAGCTTGTGTCTACACACTTGAATTCCTGGTTCTACAGCAGGGAATGGATGTGCTTTCCTTGTGCTTTTCTGACAATGACCCATGTCCTAGATGTGAGGTCTGATGGAATGATCCAGCCTGGAACAGTGGGTGGTGTGGCAAAGAGTGATGGAATTCCAAAATTCCTACCAGGACTTGGATGTCTTGCTTTTATTTACAGCTCTCTGGAAATTCAGAGACCTTGAAGTGGGATTTTTTGGTAACGTTTGGTGGAAATTTTTAAGGCCTCTAGCCTTTTAAAGACTAGGAGACTTAGATGTCTTGCTTTTATTTACAGCTCTCTGGAAATTCAGAGACCTTGAAGTGGGATTTTTTGGTAACGTTTGGTGAAAATTTTAAGGCCTCTAGCCTTATAAAGACTAGTCAGTTCTTTCATTTAACATAAACATTCAAAGCATTTTTGCGCAAGTGTAATTACTGATTCATACTTTGCAAATATATTGAAATCATCAGAAAAATTTCCTCTCCAAGAAACATCAGAGAAAACAACTCTTTATTTTCATACAGAAATGGAAGAATCAAAGTTTATCTGTATTCTCAGAACTGAGGTATTTATTGTTCCACAGGAGTAAAGGTGTTGGATCGCACCCATGTGCGGTGCATTTCCACTCCGGTGATGGATACCCATGGAAACACCACATCCTTCAACTACTTACTCTGAATGGAGTAAGGAAGAAGATGAGCTTGCTGAAAACATTAAGAAACTTGAGGCAGAGTTTTCTGACAGAGGAAATCTCCCCCGGGTGCACATCTGGGGTGTCTCAGAACCAGGGCTTCAGCACATCACAGGACGTGCTTGGTAATTCGCATGATTGAGCTCTTAGTTATAAAAACATATTTTACATACAAAAATACAGCAGATGTCCTTCCAAAAATCATCTCTGAAGTGTTACTCCCTCTCTTTGGGTTTTATACATTCAGGAACAGGCATTTGAGATATATTGTGAACAGTGCAAAATACTGTTTTACATTTCTTAAACCACGTGTTGCAGTACCTTTAAGCGCCAGCTGAAGGAAAGGCTGAGAAAGGTTTGACCCTCAGAGCAATTCTGGTCCAAGTTGAACTTTTGTTTAGAGAGTTGTAAACACATGCCTTAGAATGCAGAGAATCCTCTCATTTCTTTCCAGCTAAGGCAGTCTCAAACACATCAAGTCCTGCTTTGAAGTAAACCTGAGCTGAATTGATGCTGTTCAGCACCTCTGACAAGGCTGCTTGAACGGTCTCATTTGACTGATGTAGTTTGCAGTGCTCCAGTGCCTCCAGCAGTACTGAAAACTGGCTGGTCCTGTCATCCAGTCTGTAAAGAATATTTCTGAAAGAGAACAATGGAGAGAATGGTAAGATTTTTACTCAAAACCAATCCATCAGATTCCATCAAGAAACCCTGCAAGAATCAGCCACAGCTTACAGATGATACATATTATGCACAGTAAAGCTGACCCATGGCAGATTGAGAGACAAATGCATATTTATTATGCCTCTATAAACTAAATTTATTCACTGAACTACATGCACTTACATTGGAGCAGTTACTAAATCCATCAAAGAAGTCTCACATTCCTCTCTGACCATTCAAATTTTTATTCAAAAGCATAAGCCTAGACCTATCACATCCCTCATGAAGGATTTTGTGTCTCAGATGAATTCCATTTATTCCCTCTAAAAAGAGTTAGGTTACTGCTGTGAACCCTCAGCACAGGTTTGGTTTTGTTTTTGTTTTTCCTGTCTGCTCACGTTATTTATTTCACTCTTCAGAGGTGAAATTCCAGCTGCATTGATGTCAGTGGTAAAACTCTCCTTGCCTTCAGCAGAGACTTTGTTTCATCAATAATCCTTTGTGGTTTTAGAACAAGGGTAACCCATCTTTAATGTCCCATACTAGAGGAAAGAAACAGCACACACAGCTAAACCCTTGTGAAACAAAATCTGTGGTTTCCACTAATATCTGCAAAAAATTTTAATGGTTTGTAGAAAACCAGATCAAGAGCATTGTGTGATCCCTTGAAATGTTATTTGTATGAGGTGGGGAAGGCTCAGAATTCAAAGCTAGTCAGTGATTTTAATGGGACTCTTTGAAGCAAGCTATAAATGTTATCCAAAACCAGGTGTAATCATTATACTAATTAGATGAGCACATAAACATCATAAACCTCCACCCAGGAGCTCCTTTGATTGCAAACAGAAGTGAACAAAATTTGAAACAGGAAAGCTACAGTGATTTGGTGCAGGACCTTATCCTTAAATACAGGACAGGTGTTCAGGGCAGGGGAGAAGCTGTGTGGAGAGCCCAGCAAGAAACAGGACAGCTCCCACACTTTGTTAGCAACGTAATGGCACAACAGAACGGGCCAAATGGCAACTCCAAAATAGTAATAAAACTGCCAAATTTATTTACAGAAGATAGATGAACACAGAAGTGCACCTGATTCTATGAATCACCTAAGTGCAACTCTGCCTGGGGGAGAGGTAACAAAGCAGACCAATAAATGACCCACAATCTTTTGCCATGTTTTCCAGGTTTAAAAAATGTTTTGAATGAGAGGTTATTTTTTTCCAAAGATACCAAATAACTCCTGTCCTCACAAGGCAATTTTTCAGCCTATGTTTTTACCCCCCAATATTGGGTATACATCTGAACCCAGCAGTGTGCAGAAGGAATGATGAGTTTTTCATCCCCTGGCAGCAATACATCCAGACAGTTCAAGGGGTCTGCAAAGCAGTGCATTGGAGATCTAAACAGAGAAGGGGAAGGGTTTGAATCCAACCCTGCAGCAGAAAGGCAGTTTAAACAATAAGCCATCACTGACACAGACCATTTAGACAGAAACAGGTTAGGAGTATGAGCAAGAACAGCTCAGTGGGGACAGAAAGCCCCATCAAGAGGGCAGAAACAGGCAGATGTGGCAACAACTTCCTGAGCCTGCCCTGCAGCTGCCACAGCATCACCCCCTTACCTTGAGCTGATGCTGCTGCTCCCTGTCTGTGGTGCAGCTCATACTCAAAGGTGACTCAAGTTGGACTGTCCCAAAGCAGCCTCTGTGACACAGTAAATGAAAACTGTGTATGTTGAGAGCCAGATAAATTCTTGGTTGGTTTTTAAGGATAGGCTGTGCTATGGGAAATACTGCATTTTTCAAAGCAGGGATTGAGCTTGCTCCCTCAGTTCAGGGACTCCTGCTGAGATCAGTGCAAGCAGAACCAGGCTTTTGAAGAACTCTCCTCTATAGTTCCTGGAGTTCACAGGGAGAATGAAGGCTGCTCGCAGCCCCTCAAACACCTCCAACAGCAAGGACAGTGCTAGAAATAATCACATTTCTTTCTACCCTCAGGAGAGATCTGTTTGCTGGTGGCTGAGAGAGTTTGACTGAGCTGGAATTCTACTCCAAATGCCTACAACACAGGTGCCCTAATCTTTGTTAGGATCCCTCTATTCCTTTAGGTCAACTTATAAAAACATCATAAAACACCAACCATCAGCAGAGCAACACTGACTCAAGAGTGCCAGAAACAACTCTAAGAGAGGATGGTCTGAACACGCTTTCTACCCTCAGGAGAGATCTGTTTGCTGGTGGCTGAGAGAGTTTGACTGAGCTGGAATTCTACTCCAAATGCCTACAACACAGGTGCCCTAATCTTTGTTAGGATCCCTCTATTCCTTTAGGTCAACTTATAAAAACATCATAAAACACCAACCATCAGCAGAGCAACACTGACTCAGAGTGCCAGAAACAACTCTAAGAGAGGATGGACTGGAACATTTGGGGGCTGCTGAGAGAGACAATGTTTGTGGTGAATAGGAACAGACCTCATGTCCCATCATCAAATGGGGTCTAAACAAGGCACACCAGCAAAAAAGATGGTTTACCCTGACATGCAAGGGTGTTAACACAGTTTAAATCTACTGCTGTGATTTTGGAATCATTGGTGATTCCATAGTAAATACACAGGCATGTGATCCAAGTAAAAACAAGAACTGGTAGCCCACCCCACCTGAATGCAGGGCTAATTAGTGTCTGATGAGAGCTCAGTTGTTTGATGAATGAGACAAGCAGACTACTGTCATACTTTTAAAATAATACCTTCTGAAACAGTAATATGACTTCAGAATAGCTGACTACATAGTACAACAGAACCTCATTTATATTTTTATGCATGCAAATTCTAATAAGCAACAATACAGCACCTGTTATTTTCAACTTTTCTGCTAGGAGTTCTCACTGGGATCTTGTATTTTCCAATTACTTATCTTTGCTTGGCAAGCCATGCCACCCCTTTGTTGCACAAAATGATTTCTCTCTTTATGCATGTTCATGAGAGTCAATTTATACAAGTTTACTTCTTATCTCTGTTGAAGCTTCATCAAATGAAAAAAATGGTCAGTTCAGTTTATTACTTCCAAGCCTCTACAAGTCAGAAAAGTGTTTTCATTAAAGATTACACACGGACTGAAAAATAAACCCCGGCCATTTCATTGACACAAGGTATCACCATGTGCCCACAACATGCAGAATGATAGCAAGAGACTTTAATTTACACTGTGAAATTCAATTACTTAAACATTCCTGAACACAAATTGGTTTTGTAGCCTACACCTCTAGAACAACAATTCCAGCCTCTGGCCTAATTGCTTAAGTATCCACCTTCATCTTTAACTATTTTATCTTATAAATATAATTCACGTAGTCAGCCTGACCCCCACAAGACAAAAAGACACTCCTAAACAGAAAACTGCAATACATTATTGATGATGCTGATGAAATTACAACACACATCATTCATCCTAATGGGCTTGTTTCTATGACACATCCCAGTGACCTGAAAAGTGGAACACTGGGGTAGGAAACTCAATTAATAACTTCAGGCAGTACCACTGAGAGAGATAAAAGGGCTACAAACAAAACAGCCTTAACAAAGTAAAGAAACTATAAAGAGAGCCTCTATTACAACTTTTATAAGTCCCTGGCAGGGCTTGGAACACAAGCATTCCTGATCAAAATAATGCCACTAAATGCTGTTCTACACAACCACAAATAAGGAGGTATTGTCACACCCACCAGACCAGAAGGAATTTGACAAATTCTTGAATGACAGATCACACTAGAAATATACTGACTTTAACACAACTTCAATATTAGAGCAACTGGACAGTACAAGATGAAACTAGATTAGCACATTATTCTTGTCATGAAAAACGATTTTTTAGCTTGCAAGAAAATTTTGTCTTTAGGTAATGTACAACACAAGATGAATTATTCAGGCACTTACAAACAGACTCCTCTCTAACAGCCCACGTTTGAGATTTTGAAAAGTAATTATTAAATCATTAGGACATGATGGCAAGTCTAGTGTCCCACATGAAATGAGCACAGGTTTTCTCTGCAGAATCACAGTAAAATTGTTTAGAGATAAATGCTGTGGGCAGCCTCTGTCTGTTCCAGTTATAACACAGTGTGTTATGACTTCAGCATCCTCACAAACTCAATTTTGTAATTCCCTGATTTGTTTTTTCTTGTACTCTCCAAGGAAAAAAAAAAGCACACCAGAACAAAGATTCTCTGAATTTTCCCTTTTGCTGATACTGTTCAATTTTGAAGGCACTTTTCTTACATTTAGGAGTCTTTTTTCATTCATGTTTGTAAGACATAAAATATGATTACTTTGGTAAATAAGTAAATGCACTCTAATAACAATATTTACATGTTGGGACTTCCAGTGCCATACAGTGGTTATTCATTGTAGAACACAAAAATATCACAAAATATTCTCAGGAAACAGCACAAGAAGATTTATACTAGTATATTTACACAAGTTTGCACCTCAGAAAATTTTGCAGTGAACATTCAGAAAGTTTCCTTTCTTCCTCTGGGATCCTTATCTTTTGATCTCCAATGGCTGTTCTCCTTTCCTCTCTTATTTTTTAAATCTTTTTGATACCCACGACATGCAGTTTTGTTATCTTACCTATTTTATTTCACAGCAGCATTGTGGCACAAGGTTTATAATTATAAAATTACAGCTGCTGGCCATGTAAGATTAGCTTTTATCAGGAGGAAATACATGCCCTGGTGAGGTGCATGTAATTAGAGCTGATCCAGAGGAACCCTTTTTTTTTTCCACAATGCTCATTCCATGCTGGACTGAATGCTGAAAGTCGCTGGGGCCATGGGATGGAACAACACATGTGGCCAGGGAAGATGGGGATGTGGCACAGGGTAACTCTGCTGAAAATGTCACCTCTCCTTCTCTGCCCTAAGTCCCCACAAACACAGCATGTCATTTTTAAGGATCCTCTTTTTGTAATTAGTTGTTCCT